TGTAAGTTATCCTCCAATAAGCAAAACAATTCAATAAATCTCCCAATTTTCTTCACTCCATATTTCTTCGTCTTTTCTCCACAGGTTTGTTCCTGTTACGTATTAATTGCAAAAGTATAATAAATATTGGTTAGAATCGGTTAGGATGGACAAAGGAGTCAGGAATAAAATGAAATAAATATGTGGAAAGGCATGAAAAATATTTAGTACGAGAGTATATAATACTGCCTGTGCGCTCGTTAAAGTCGTCACCGCTTGGAGGGTAAAAGCCTGCGCGTAACTGAAATCTCAGCATCCACCCCCCTTGAGTTGAACCGGTGAGCTGATGGAGCCATAGCTGCGTTTTACCACCCCTTCTCCTCTGCCTCTTCTCTTTTCACATCCCCTGTCGCTGTCGGGGGGCTGAAAACGCAGCTGTGTGCCCTCAGCCAGGTGTGCCCTTCGTTCGAGACCATTGTACTTCTATCTCACTTCTCATATGTGTACTTATATAGTCTCTACCTCATTCACTCCCCTCTTCGTACTTTCAATCGCAACGTTCGCCACAAGGGTGCTACACACACTAATGCAATCACGCTAAGCTTAGTCGAGAAATCTCAACAAAGATATTGTCCGATAGTTTGAACAACGCAATTTTTACTTTGCTGTAATATGTCATCTATTTTAGTGACAAAGAAAAAATTATTTACTATTCATTCTTGTTTGTTTTTATTACATTTTTTTTTGTTTAATTCATTAAAAAAATATTTAGATCAATTTTCAAACATTCAGAAAAATTTTAAAATTAATAATAATAATTAAGAAAATAATATTAATCATTTTAATATTTTTAAATTAAATAGATTGAAGTGAATGGAGATGAAACCACATAAAATGTTAAATTACTGTAAATAAACTATAGAACACATTTTAGATTTACAGAGAACTGATAAAATATTCGACAAAAGAAAGGATTTTTTTTATTGTTAAGCAGCAAAAATACTTTTAGATTATTTAAAATGAATTTTTTATGAAATTTTTATATAAAAAAAAAAGTAATATTGCAGATTTTAACAATAGATATAAAACCAATAATTCACATAAATTAAATGTGAATAACTTTTATCTGAATGATTACTTTTACACAAAGGAGACAAATGCTCATTTCCTGACCGAGAAATTCATTTGCATATTATTTAATTCATTACTATTTTTATCTAAATTAATTCGAATGCCTTAAAAAATGATAAATTTAATTTTTTAAATAAATATAATAAAAACAGCAAAATCAATATTGCAGGAAATATTTCCTATAAATACCGTCAGTTTCCTTTGTCATCCTACAAATGTTCTTATGCATTTTTTAAATCCTCTTTGATCCGGAATTATTTTTTCTTTATTTAATAACAAAGTCGATTTTTTTATTTAAATTAATTAAACATTACTCTCTAAGTAAAAAAATATGCAATAATCTATTAAAAATTTATATAATAAATAAATATTTATTGATAAAAAATAAGATTTATTTCGTTTAAATAAATGCAATAATTTTGTTATTAAATTTTAAAAAAATAAACAATAGTTATTCTTAGTATTGGAAAAAACCTATAAAAGTGATTTCAGGATGACAAAGGGAGCAGGTCATTTTCCTGGAAAATTTTTCAAATGTCATGCTCACCCTTTGCACGCGGGAAGCAATAATAAAACAATCCATTAATCCTTGCGCATGATCCATCATTTACAATAAATCTCAGATACATTATATTCGAACTAGCACGTATACTATCCACTATAGTGCACGATAGAAGAGAGAAAATGTGAAAAATAATTGCGGAAACGAAAGGAGAGTCGACCAACTACTCTCGGTACAACGATATCTCGATAAGCGCACAGTGACATCAAGTGATGTTATTACATTGCTTTTATTCTCCATAGTTCTCTGTACCGAGCCGCTTCCGTTAATATATACGATATCAAGTGATTTATTATCACTTTTGTGCATACATCACCGACCACTTGTTACTTAAATTTCTCAAACGATCATTTTCTTCTCAGTTAAATAAATGATTATGGCATCTGAAAAGAATTGACCTATTAGAGCTAATGAAAAAGTTGATGATAAAAATTCTATGTACAATCAAATTTAAATGGTATAAGTGTGGGAATCTCGGTCTATGTAATCTATGTCACGCATACGACAAAATTGCTCATGTTACATGACGCGTGTCCGCATAAATATAAATCGTGCGAGCATCGTCACGCCGCTCCGTTGAGCGTATATCCCATTGCCAAAAACGGAAACGCTATTCCCCCGTGGGGTCAAACCTACCGGAACACCGGAACCGGAAGGGTGCGGAGCCTATCCGTCCGCATGACTATACTCATGCTGACTCGCACTGATTACTCTGTCAAAATTATTCCACCTCGATAATACATCAAGCTTTTCAGACTATTTTCCCAAGTTTTTCCGAGATTTATTTATGGATGTAATGTGAAAAAAGACATGAAATTATTTTTTACACTTGTTGTCATGGTATTTATGGGAACGGTGTAATGCATCACTCAACAAGTGGTCTAAAATAATTAGTTGGTTTACTGGTTGAATTATTTTGTTTTGGGAAATTATTTCTTCCTTCCTCAAAGCAATGATTTGATTTTTTTTTTAATTTAATTACGTTTCATCTAGGCTTGTTCATCTTTTTTGTATTTTATTATTAAGATTTCTATCAATTGAAACTCTTTTTATAGATTCAACTATTTTTATTATTAATTATTATCATAATTAATTTTATTTATTGGAAGAAAAATAATTAATTAGAAAAATTTTTAAGTGTTAAAGAGAAAATTATTTCCAACTCTTTCGATTATTTTCAGTGCATAAAAAATTTCTATAAAGGCATCAAAAATATTTTTGTGTCCTTAAATGTAATGTCTATACCTGGAAAATCAATCATCCTGATTACATCCATTTTTTTTAAATCAAATCAACTTTAATATTAAAATTTCTTTTCATTCAAGAATTTTTACCGGAATATTGAGTGAATTTTTTTAGGTTCGCACATATGGTTTCGCATTACTGCGTCACCCCAATAAAAATTAAAGGACTCTTCAGTAAAATTTCATGGAATATTTTCTTTTTATATTTAAAATTGTTTATAATTATTGAAAAACATTTTACTACGATTAACTGTTATTAATTAATTTAAATAATAAATGAAAAAGCTTTGGAAAGCATAAATATGATCTAATAAATAAATAAATGCTTTTGAAATAACAAGCCAATTTGAATTGCATTGTTTAGATGATTTTGATAAAAAAATATAATTCAATTTTTATCTCACAACCACAATTGAATTTTTAATTAAAACAAAGTAATCATTATTGTTAACACTCAAGATTCTATTGTTTAATAAAAACACACAGAATTTATAATGAAATAAAAGTTTGCAAGAAAAAGATAAAAATATATTTATAGAACTAAACTATAATATAATGAAAATCCGGTTTCACATTTAATTGTCAACTGGGCTTTTACGTTATCCAAGCAAAAGCAGCATAGAAGATAAGGTCTACAATTTTAAAGCTATAATTATTTGCAAACAAGTATATCGTGTATTTCACCTGTGTGACTATAATTACAGTATTTAATAGTATATATGAATAACCTTAATATACGTAGTTCCCATATAGCTTGAAAAATGCATAAACCAATCCTACAACAGGTGCAGCTTGTTCCTGAATTTCCCATTGGGGTATTTATCAACAAAAAGGATTTTGACTTTAATGATGTCATACTGACAACCCATCGATTATTCAGTTGACAAATTTAATGACCATCCCCACAACATTTGATTACTTTTTTCCTTTTTTATTTATTATTTATAATCTATCCAATTTTTGGGCTATTCTGTTCAATGATTTAACAATGTATCGACGGTCGGTAAAAACGCACCAAATAACCCTTCAGATTGATCACAATGATTAGCGAACTCATTCATTTATTTTAACAATTAAAAATAAATTATAATTATTAAATTAATGAAATAAATTGCTAATAAATAATTACTTGTAATAATAATTTAGAAAGGAGCTTTTCAAAAATAATTGGAAAATTATTGCTATCAAAATAAACTGTCAAATTAATGAATAAAGAGATTTAGAGTGAAATGAACAAGCCAAGGGGGTATAATTCATTAAATAAAGACCAAATAAATCCATTCAGTTGACTTAACAATTTAACACCTGTGGGAAAAATTATAGATAAATGCACGTAACTGAAATATTTATAGATATATAATCAAGTGTGACAGTGACAGTAGGGTTATTATTTTGACAGTCATTAGATCACACTTGTGATTAATACATATTATATATTACGATTGTCTATCATTTGCTACTATCTCGAGATTATAAATATATATATGCATGTGTACATATATATATTCCTGGGGTATTAATGCGAGGGAAGTAGAGAGGATCGTGTGAACCCCATATGCTTATGTAGCTGCGGTATAGAAAGGGTGGAAATCACTGTCTACACCAATAACCACCCGTCCGTTCATTCACGTTTATGCTCGTAATGTTCTTTACAAACTCAACTTTACTTTTTTTTTAGTGATTTATTCGCTAATCTGATTCTTTTTTGAAATTACTTCTGACTCAATTAAATGAACTCCAAAACAAATTTATCATTTATGATTATTACTTCTTTAATTATTATAAGTCAGTTAATTTATCTTTTTGACATTTTATCATCAGTTTTATTGTCAGTATAAAATATAAGCCCCAATAATTTTTTTAATGAAAATTTTTGATTTATTTCACTGATTGAATTTTGTTCTTCTTAAGTGTGATATAATTAAATATTTTTTAATAAATTTTATCCAACAAATGGTTTGAAAAAAATTCCGTAAAAACCTTTTGAATAAATTAGACTTAAAAAAAACGTATGCTAAATTTGATTTAACGATATATTTATTGCATCTGAAACTAATAAGTATTGTATTTTATTATTTTTTTAGGGCAGAAAGTGATCGTAAAATGCTGAATCCTGAGACTGGTTGCTACACAGACTCCGTTCGAACATGGTGAGTTAAAATTCATATTTTATTGCATTTATTTTTCTTGTATTTATTATTTGTCATCTTTTATCATAATTATTACTTAATATTTCACTATTTAATTTCTCTCATCATAATCATTATCAAAACTATTTAACAAAATTTTGTCTTAGTTTTTTTTCTTTCTATCATCAATATCTTAACTTTTTTTTTTCCTTCATTATTTCTAGCGTGTGACACGCGACCCTGTCTAGAAGTGCCTTGACTTACGTTAACGATGACGTTAATACGCGTCGGTGTTCTTTAATGTCAGGGGATTGTGGTACATTAGCAGTGGAAGGAGCGATGTGTTTTCTGAAGAATGTTACAACCCCTAGGCTGATAGAAAGATAGTGGGTGTGGTCGGGAATAGATCCTCTAATGATTAGACATATGTACGTCACACCCTTGGAAAAAAATACTTCATTAAGAGCTCTGAGAGAACATTTTTATTTTTTTTCTTTAGAACCACGGCAGGATCAATTTAAATAAAAAATGTCAACTACTTAACTCATGAGCATCCATTTTAAAAAAAAATTTAATCCTGACAACAATTATTAATTTTCCAGTGGGAAGTTAGTCGTATGGACCTTTCAGGTCACATTTAGACCAGATTTTTAAGAAATAAAATAAACACTGCAAATCGAAGTATCATTTAAATGCATTTAAAGTGTTTTATTATGATGTCACCCATTTGATTGATATTGTAGTTTTAAATATTCACTTCATTGTTTACTTTATTCAAGTGCATTAAAATTCATGAAAGTTTATTTTAAAAATATTCAAGTGTTTTTCTAACATTTCGTTACTTTCCACTGGGAAGTTGATCATATAGATCCCCCGAGTTGTACCTAAAGCATTTTTATCATTACTTAATAATTAATTTTTAAACAAAAAAAAAAGCCAAGAAATTTTTTTTTTTCATTTCAGTATAAAGACAATTTGAAATGAATATTGAAAAATGATTATAAAAAAAATTAGCAGTAAATGATATGTTTAAAATGGTTGCAGTGTAGTTTGAAAATGAAGAAAAATAGGTTGTAAGAATAGACGAATTAATTTCCCCTAATTAACATACAGAAGCAGCAGAGAGATATAAAACCCAAAAAAGAAAAGAATGAAATCAAGTCAGGATGCCAGAGGCTACTCAGGGATCGCTAAACGTTTGTGTGAGAACCCCTCGGTTTGTCAAACGACCCTCCGGTGTCGCTTACAAGACAGCAAATTTGTCTTAGATAAGCAAAACAAGCACTCGACGAGAAACCGACCTCATCCAACAGTCGTATTCGATATCTTTCTCCTTGGTTAGTCTTTTTTATTTATATTTTGTCATTTAATATGGTAACCAACCGATTAAATCGTTGAATTCTTGTCTTACGTTGCATTTTCGTCATATTAATTATTCAATTAGACCACTATATATTTATTTATTCATTAAATATCATATGGTAGTCCATCAATGCTTCTCTGTAAGTGCTTTGAAAAAATTTCATATATTTTCGACTCATCTCTTTTTACGTTTTTGTCGCTCCTAACTCGCCATATCACCGGATTAGCATAAATTAAATTTTATCTTTCCTAGAACGTTCATCTTTCTTGGATGGCGCATATTTATAGTAGTTATATATTCAACGACTCCGTTACAGACAAAATTCCTGCTGCTTGATATAGATGTATTGGGTCAGTAACAATTCACTTCTGTATTTTTATTTTTTCGTCCTTTCTCGCTTTGTTTTATCTGTTCTCTATTTTTATGAACATCATATCTGCTCAAATTACATCTCACAAGTGTGCTACCAACATATTTAAAAATGTCACACTGAAATAATAAACTGTGCAACTTATTTGTTATTAATGAGAACATTATCCTGGTGTAGAAGCTCCAAATTTATTGGAGCTCAATTTTTTATTATCAAGAAGCCATTAATTACTTGATATTAATTATTATTTATTCATATTTAATTAAAAATTTTTTTTTTCAAACAAAAATATATTAATAAAGTTAAATAATATTTTTAAACTATTAATAAATATTTTTTAATGTTAAATAAGCGTTGGTTATAGAAAATTTAGTTTCTTAGAGTTAAGAAATATTTTTTGACTGTTAATAAACCTTTTTAACTGTCAACAATCTCTTCTATCAGTGTATTTAAATTAATTACATTATAAAATGAATGTATGTCTTCATCTGTATGTGGATAGACAGACGACGGAATTTATTTATGTTAATTTACGACTGAGACTAGTGCACATTAGACGTCATTCTCTTCCATTAAAATCTATCCTGTCATTTTTAATCAACTTTCCCTCCTAAAATTTCTCCGTTTATTCCATCATTTAATAATATTATGAAATCAAATAGAAGCATACTTCTTTTAAACCAGTAAAAATTAAATAAAATATTTAATTTTTAGTGTCTTAATTTTAATGAATGAATTGTTATGATATCATCAAAGCAAACTTTATGCATTGTTGATGCTCGTTAAATGTAATACTATCACAAACATAGCTAAAAGTGTAACCAATTGATAAACTCAACAATCAGAGAAGGATAATCCCAATGAAAAGACAAGCACGTGAGGATGATGATGAGAATGAGCGTAACGTGTTCAAATGGAAGCCATCAAGTAGGTAGAAATCTCGATGTTAATAATATTTTATAACGGTTTACGATCATCAGACACATCCCCATGTGTGGATATATATATATGAAACATATAACATCCAGACATATGAAGCGTGCAGACGGCTGAAAGCTCTGACGAACATACGAGTGACGTTCTCGTGGGGATTGCGAAGGGTAAACATCGTATAACCACTAGGGAGCATTCGGGGTGAACTTTGGCGCAACGGCACGCGGCCAGGGTGTACTCTATAAATATTTTATTGGCTCGTTATTCGACTTTCTTGTGCGGGGGATGATGCTGCAACCCCACCCGAAGGTTACCACACCCCCCGGGACAAATCCAATTCCCTTGACGACACTTGGCACCTTTAATTTAATTCGTTGAAACCATCGCTTTTATTTAATTCATGTCGCTCTTCACTATCTCAAGTTTCTTTTTCAAATCAACGACTCTATTGTGCTACCAGGTGTATGACCAATCACGTTATGATGACATTTATCGTTAATTCCGGATTAAGATGATGAATACTTTTTTTTTAAAGGTAATCACTAACTGCGGTGATGACAAACTCTACATGTTTTTAAATAAATCAAATAGTTTGTATTTAAAAAAAAATTTTTGTTCATAATATTCAACATTGTAAATACTTAGGTGTCTTATTATTGAACACTTTAAGCGTTTTATTACTAAACACTTGAATTTTTTTAGATTTGCAGCAATATGACGTCATCCATTCTAAATATTTTTAAATGCATTAAAAGTGACTACAATATTAATTAAATGGGTAACGTCATTTTAAAACACTTCAAGTGCATTGAAATAAAACACTAAATCAATTGATGAACACTGCCCAGATGATGAGCAAATTATTAAAATTAAAAAAAAAAATTGGAATGTAAAAAAATATTGAGCATCAATTGGGACATTGACTTTAAATAGATTATATTTGATCTAAAAGTTAGTTATTGGAATAAAATGATACTCATTTGAAGTACTAAAAAGTATTTCGTATTTTTATGACATTATATTCGTCAATTCAATGAGGCACGCGCTCAAATGCGCATCCCGTAGTTGTGTACATGCGGCTCATCGATAAATTGCAACTTCCGCTGACGTTTCGGCCGCGTGTAATTTCCTGCCGGTTACCCTGGCATTCGATAACGTTCGACGAGGCTGTTCAGTTAGATAAAGACAAAGATATATACACTGGCAACATGTAATCCCTACATGGATACAAGCACCCACCTAGACCAGACCCATACATCAACCAAATGAATGATGTGACCGAGGTGCATCATCATCAAAAAAGAGTTCAATATATCAGTAATCGGAAATTGACTAGATGGTGCTAATTAAGAAGCATTTTAGTCATACTTGCTATAATTAGCATTATTAGAGGAAAGTGGCTAAAATATATTTACTTGTCCATTTCTCCTCTTAAGAAAATCAATTAATTTATTTATTCGTAATTAATTTGACTAAACCCTTTTTTATTATTTATTAAAAATTAAACAATTAAAAGTTAAATTTTTTATGAATGAACAAATTATTTAAACTAGGATTTTTTTAATTTCTAGGAAATTTTTAAATCTCAAGTAATTCTGCAAACATTTGTTGCAATTATTTTACCATGAATTTTCACAAAACCAAATAAAAGCATGCACAATAAAAATCAAAGTGTTATTTAAGGACTTGGTTAGAAGATAAATAATACATTTTACCTGGTGTAGCTCATAAACATATCAGGAAATCGTTAGAGGAGCGATGGTGATAATTATTAAACTCCTACACGATCCTTGCTTAAGAAGATTGAGTAAACGTTGTTATCTGCGAGTAGAGGCGTGGCGAATCAGGGACGTGTACCTATAATTTACAAACCAGGAAGGAGCAGGTGTGACATAAGAGAGAATTGAAAAAATTCTATCATAGGTCTATATACATTGTGTATGATTAGATAAAACGACAGCCATAATCGACTATTTAAATGCCGTATAACATAGATTAGAATATATACAGGTTCAATATTTTCAATCATCATAATCTGCTATTCATTGGAAAATCAATCTTCTCTTCAAAGTCCAAAGTCTAATTGAGTAATAAAACCCACTAAATAATTTTTAAAATATTTTTTCAGTCATTAGTACTGTCTTTGATGACCTTGAAACGTTTATTAACAGGTTTGAGGGTTTATTAATGAATTTATTCTCATTACCAACATGAAAAGACACTCAGTATCAGATCATATCTTGAGGCTGGGCTTTACTAACCTCAAATTTTTCTCATCAAACTTTAAAATTTTTATTGGTGTTTTAAATGTAAAAAATATTTATGCTTATTTAGAAAAATAGTATACACATTGGA